GCTCTGCAGCCTTGCAGCCGTTAATGTGTTTAAGAAATGAATATTTATAAGGGGAGATGTAATATTAAAAACACACACATATAAAATATTAACATGGCACATGTCACTGCTGCAATCCAAACAGACAGGTGTGACTGATGGTGTTCACTGATAGGTGTGTAAATGGTAAATAATATTAACTAATGAATCTTCGCAGCCCTCACGTGAAGTTTAGAAGCAAATATTTGCTTAAAAATCTCTCCAAACCCCCTGTGTGCAGCTGATCCCCTGGAGAAGATAAACACTCCTGAGCTCTGTCACCAAGGGTTAAAGTCTGTGTTGGCAGCCCCAGGTTCAGGGATGGATTTCACTGGGAGGGAGGGTGTGGAGCACTCTCTGGAGCCCCATTTGTGCAGTGATACAGCTGACAGGGGAACAGCAGCCTGTCTCATCCAGGAAAGCAATAACAATAACATAAACTCCATTTATGGCTTATGTCACACTTTTCATCCAAAGCCCTTAAAGCACTTTATGTTTTAAGAAAGCATCACTGCCGTGCCTGTGGATGCTTTCCCTAAATCTGTGGGTCAAACCTGCTGGAGCAGCTCTGCCTCAGCCCCCTCAGTCCTCCCAAAGAGCACAGTCTGTGAGCTGAGGGAAGGCTCCCTCCAAGCACTTCTGAGGATGCTCGGTGCTATAGCCAGGCTGCTGCCAAAAAAGCTACACTCAAATGACCAAATTAGGCAATTATTTCTATATATTTTAACTAATCTTTTCTCAAAACTGCCTGGGGATGTATTTTTAAATGCACATGACCTTGCTTGACTTGAGGGAGATGGCGATAAACAAATAATTGCAGTGACTTAATTATATTTATATCTCATCTATAAAAACGTCAATTAAAACTTCAGAGATCAGCTCCAGAACTGAGGTTTTGGCAGCTGGACAGAACACAAAAGGCTATTTTTCTCCTCAGAAAAGCCTCCTCCTTCGCCAAGGCACAGCCAATATCTCTCTAACAGCATCACTCCTGACTCTCCCAAAAAACAAACCCATTATGCCAACTGCTTCCACCTGGAGTTCCATGCACTGAAATCTGCTGGATGGACACAGCACAGCCAGGGAGCTCAACCCTCACCTTCCTCCCTGAGAGCAGAGCCCACGGTGAGGCTGGGAGAGCCCCTGACCCCTGGGGTGTGGTTTTGGTGGGATGGGGGCACCAACCTTTCACCCTGAGCTCTGTGGGTTCACACAAACCCCCACCTTGGGCACACCACCATGCCACAGGAGGGTACCAGCAGTGTCCTGGTGCCCTCCCTGCCAGGGCCTGGGAGGCAGAGGGATGCTCAGGCACCCTCCAGCCCCAGACACAGCCAGGTGCCAGCCAGCCCCTCCTGGGCACAGGGAGCAGGGGGTGACAGAAGAGCTCGGCTGCAATCAGTCTGTGCCTGGGGGTGTTTAACCCCTAAGATGCTGTCTGTACCCTGCAGACAGCCTGCCTCGTGTTGATTTTGTTTAGTTTTAAGATTAAAGGAGTCCAAATCACACGTTGTCACTTCCCTCCTCTCACCACTGCCATCCTTACCTGTGCAAGAGGGTTAATTGATGTGAAAATAACTCTGGGGGCTGGACGGCTTTGAAAAACATATAGTATTACACTCAGTACCTGCAATTACAGCTTGGGGGGTTCACTCACTCAAAATCGTGGGCTTTTTGTGAGTCCAAGACATGGGGCTCTTGTGATGCAGGTCCTGGACAGCTCCTGGAGTGGCTGAAGGCTGGGCAGGGATCACTGGGGCTGGGACCAAGGGCATCCCACTGAGGTGAGGAACCTCTGGACCCCTTCTCCTGCCTCACCTCACCTCGTGCAGGGATCAGCTCAGGACAGCCCACTCGTGCACCCCTCGACTGATCTACCTGTGCCTTCCTCCCTCCTCCTCCTCGTGCTGTGCCGGGCTCTGCTTTGCTGGAAACAACAAACCCTGTCCAGAGCCCAAGGGCACGGCCCCCACCCCAGCACACTGAAATGCTTCCTGGAGCTCCTCTCCATAATGAAGTTAGAAGGACATCATCATCCTGCCAGGCTCCCTCCACCCCCCAAGATCAATAACTAATGCTGAACTCCAGATTTTATCTGCACTTTGCAAGGGTAACAAAATAACACCACCCTCTTTTTTTTTTTTCCTTTCTTTCCAATTACTGAATCCTTTCAAGATTGACCCAGTAATTTTCAGCTCTATGAAATTTTAAGCAGTGAAGAAAGTGACAGAAGTGATCTGCCAGAATGTTGGGAGAACTTTTGTGTGTGGTTTTCAGAAGACTGCAGGAATACAGTAGTACAGAAATCGAGGATCACCAACACTTTCTTTCAAAAAAAAAAAAAAAAAGGCACCTAAACAAGTTGACCAAGGGATATTTGTTTATCAAGTGCTGTTTTTTTGTGTGCCCACTGTCACACTAAGCCAGAAGAACCCTTGGAAGGAGACATCCCAGTGATTCTAGGGATTGTCTTGCCTACAACACACCAAAACATAACCACTCCAATTAAACACAGATTTTGCAGCCTGCCTTTAATATGGCCCAACAGATCAGCAGGAAATGCAAGAGCTGAGTCTTATTTTCCTTAGAGAACATCCAGGAATAGCTGGACATTAAAATACCCCTGGCAGAGACACAGCATGACTGGCCTGATGGCATTTTTAAGGTTATAGAATCACAGAATCATTAAGCTTGCAAAAGACCTCCACGAGCAAGCCCACCACAGAGGCAAAGTGCTCCATGCCAGGCATGAAGCTTTATTTTGGGTGGGTTTTCCAGCCAGGGTGAGCACTTTGAAAACCCCTCTTCCCCTGCCTGGCTCCATCCCTGCATCTCCACGGAGCAGTGCTGGTGCAGGTGAGCTACACTCCCCAAACACACACACAGGAGCAACGCACACGTGCCAGAATTATGTCAACAAACCCTCTCCATTTTCTTGCAAGGAAATTTATCTCACCTCCTAGCAGTAGGGAGTGAATTTTAATCCTTTTCCCTTCCCGTGCCCACGGTGATTATTCCAGGCAGAGACTAAGGCAGCAAACCACAGCGGATATTTTATCTGCCATTTCTCCTTCCCGTGGCTAATTTGAAGATACAGATTGCAACCCACAAGTGGCTTTAAGAATTGCCATTAACACTGTTGCTGCACACTGGCGCATTTTAAACACGCTTCCAACACAATCAGAGTGCCACAATTTGTAAAATCTGGGGTGATTTTATCGGCGGTCGAGGCGGCAGAACTCTCTTCATCACCACAGCCCCGAGCCAGTTCATTAGGCTGATTAGCACTAGCTACCTGTGCAGAGCAGGAAAAAATGCCACAAAAGGCTGGATAAATTCGAGTGTGAAGATGAAGAGGACTCTTACTCTGCCTTTTGTAGTTGATTTTTCCTCCCACCTGCGCTCGGCAGGGTAAGGGCCCGGAGCTCAGCCCCCTCTGTCCTTGGGCAGCTGAGCAGCCCCTCTTCCCTGCTCACAGGAATTTTGGCTGATCCCAGCTAACAAGCAGCACTGCCCTTCACCCAGCAGTGGGTAAGCCTGTTCCCTGGGAGCCCAAGCAGAGCTGAGTCTCCTGAGTGCCAGAGAACTCCTTCCTTAGCCAGGAGAGGGACTCCAGCCCAACCTGTCCCCAGAGGGGCAGACCCGGGTGCACAGTCTGACTGGAGCACAGGGCAGGGTGTGGGGGAGCATCACCTCCACCCAGGGGCATTTGGAGCCTGCTTTTGGTCCTTAGGGGCTTTTAGTTCCTCCCCACTTAGACCTCATGCAAGAGCTTACCCTGGGGTGATAATGAAGAGCAAAATGTCATGGCTTGCATGTAGGAAAAACAAGCTATTAAAAAAATTAGCCAATGAAATAAATGCACAGAATTCCCAGGGGAAATAAAAAAAGGATGACCTGTTGCCTCCCATCTTCAACACACATAGAGGGAAAAAACCCCTTGTGGAAAACCCAAAAGGTTTCATGGCAACTAAGGTGCCCCCCAGACCTGCAGCCCTCATCTTCAGCAGACCTTTACTCCTGGTAAGTCACTGGAAAGATGTTTCTGGACCAGGAATGCATCCTGTGGGGCTCATTACCCAGGCTCAAAGCTGCAGGCTCCCCCAAGAGCCCAGAAACGCTGAAGCAGGGCTGCTGGAGCAGAGCTCAGCACTCCCAGAGCACAGACACCAAGTGCTTAGAGCAGCACAGAGCCAGGGACAGAGCGGGGTCACCTTGGCAACGCCAGACAAGCATCCTGCAGGAAGCACAGCACGGGCTCCCACAGCCCTGCTCTGCTTTCTGCTCCTGCCCAGCCTGGGCACAGGGAGCTGAGAGCACTGAGTGGTGGGCAGGAACAGAGCTGGCAGCCAGCTGGGAACCCAGCCCTGGATTTGGGACATTTCAGCAACTGGAGACCACCTCCAACCTGCTGAGGGTATGCCTAGCTGGGAGCAGAGCCCCCCGGCTGCCCCCAGACCACAGGGCCCTTGTGCCCAGCACCAAAGCTCCAGGCAGCTTTTAAATGCAACAAACAACTGAGATCCTGAATGGAGAGGAGTGTTTATGGCCCATTTAAGGGTGACTTCATGGGGAAGCTGGAAAATTCACTGGATATAAAAGGAGGTTGTCACAGGTTGAACTTTTCAACCTAAGTAAGAGCTTTGAAGAGGTCCCTGTTACAAAAGGAAGGGCACTGGCTGCTCACACACCCTCCCTGGCTGGAAGAGCTGATCTTCCTCAGCAAGTCTTTTGCTCACTGAACTTTCCAGGGTACTACAATCCCTGCCTTCAGTCATGAGACTGAGCAGGAAAGTCACTCCTAACAAAAAAATCCACGTGCATGGGGCATTCCATGCCAACCACCCCTCCTCTGCTACCTGCAGGACAGAGGATTTAGTGCCACAGCTTCAGCCATCAGCTCATCTCACTGAATCTGGCTTTTGCTCCCCCATGCAGAAGCTGCCCCACACTGGGAGGTCAGAGCTCCCAAACTCTCTTACCTCTATGCCTGTTGGTCGTCTTGTCAAACATTAGCATGGCATCCTCTACCTGCAAGACAAAGAAGGGAGAGTTGTGCTTTAACACACGCTGGAGCTCAGACACAGCACGCACACCAGGAGGGGGACACGGGCAGAGCTCCTTGCTTTTGGCCACAGGCAGCTTCTCCTTCTGGAAACCTGCTGCTTTCACCTCTCTGCCCTGGCTGGCAGCTGATCCTGAAGCAGAAAAGTGACCACTGAAATGTTGGCCCTAAACAGCCAAATATCTCAGCAGCTCTTCCACTTCACATCAATCCCTGGCCGTGCCTCATCTCCCTTCTGCAGGGAGACCAGGAAGGGCCAAGGGAGGAAGTGTGGATGCAAATCAAGCCCACGACTTCTCCAAATTTAGAGTCACTGTCTTGACTGAAAATTAGGTTAAGAGAGGTATGAGCAGGGTAAAATCTGGTCAGCCAAGAAAGGTATTCAGAGGTTTTCAAAAGGGCTTTTGGAAAGCTGGAGGGAAGAGGGGACAGGGAGCAGAGAGAAACTTTAATTCGCATCAGGCTCGGCATTTCCACTTCAGAAGAGAGACGACTGATGAAAGTACAGAAGTGCAACCAAATTGCTTTCAACTTTCATTAGGATTTGCATGATTTATTCCACCTCCATTTAATCTGTGCAGCCACACCTAAAATTTTGCAAATACTGCACTGGGATGTTGTGCTGGGGTTGATTCCCCAGCATCATCACACCTTGAGCTGCTGTTCTGAGGCTGCAGGAGTGGGGGCAGCTGGGTCCCATGTGCCACTGGACATGGCCTGGGCAAGCTCTGAGATGAAATTACAGCCCTGCAATTCCCTGCTGTAAACTCAGGGATGATGAAAACCTGCAACACTGAATTACAGAAGGTGTTGCAGGAAGGAAGAAAGAACTTTAAAGAAAAGGTTTTATCCTCCAAAGGACTCCACTGCTTTTGTGGGGTGTGGCTTCAGGATTTTTTGTTTGTTTGTTTGTTTGAAGTTTTTGGATTTTTTTTCCCACCAGTAATTTTTCTGTACTTCCTTGGGCTTGTACTCTGGCTTTCAATAAATCACTTATTTTAGCTAAGTGATTTACAATGCAGTTACATGCTCTCCTCATCTCAAAGGGTCCATCTGACCCCCCAAGTGCCCACTTAGGCAACAGACAGACACCCAGCCCATGTCTGTGAAAAATTTTTCAGCCTTGGCTGGGGAAAAAGAGTTCGAGAAGGCGGTGAAAACACAAGTTGAACCTCCCTGAGGTTCTGAAGGACTGTAATATCTTCCAGGAGATTGTAAAAAATATAGTGCAGCAAAACCTTACGTGATGCCTGAAATTCATCTGAAAACCTGCATCTGCTTAAGTTGTTCTTAACTTTTTTTAGTCAAAATGGTCTGCAGAATGTGCCAGCAATGGCCTGAGAGTGTGCAGAAATGCAGGTCTCCTGATACCCATCCTGACTGAGACCTAAAGATGCTGATGCACTGAAAACCCAAACTGCACTAAGCACAGAGCTGTCTGTCCTGCTGTCTGTCTTCCCTCCAAGGGGGAAAACTCACCAGGATGAGCAATACCAGGAGGCAGATAAGGACCAGGCTGCCCTACACCCTGCTTATCTCTGCTCCAGGGTTATGTTTGCTCAGCAATCTTTATTTTTCATTCTCACAGGTCTTGGCCTCACTGGAACCAAAAATTACAGATTGCACCTGCTGCTGCTTCCTGGGGCATCACAGCTCCCAGTGTCACCCTCTGTCCCCACCCAACCCCTGCTGCAAAAGGTTTAAAATTGAACTTTTCTCCCTCAAACCCCATCCCAGAGCCTCGAGAGCTCTTGGATGTGCAGGAGCACAGCCCCAGGAGCCCAGGGAGGTGCCCTGTCCCCCCAGCCTGAGTGCAGGCTCTCCAGGCTGGACTGCCCAAATGACACCTCCTCCTGCAAGGACATTACTGGGGACCTCAAAAAGGCTGCTGTGCTGGTTAGGGAGAGAAGAGATGCTCCAGCATGGCCATGCCTCAGCCACTGCTGGCAGCAGCAGAGCCCTGAACCTCCTGTGCAGGCTCACAGGGCTCCTCCAAGAGCTGCAGGGGCTCTGCAGCTCCCTTCCCTTCTCCCACCTGTCCAACACAACCCCATCCTCTGGGCAAACAGGGCTTTGTGCCATGTGTACCAAGCTGGAATGATGATCTTGGCAGGGATCTTTTTTATGCAAATAAATCCCTATTAGCAGTAAGAAGCACGGGCTGCAGGGCTAATCCAGGAGGGAGGTTTCCTGGGGCCCCGAGGAGCACAGGCACCCCGGAGTGGGCACTGCCCCATTCCAACAGCACCAACTGCTGGGATCAGGGCCGGGCAGCAGCTCCTGGAAAAGGGTCAGCCCTGACAGTCCACAGATGAAACCTGCACGGGGGGAGCGTCTCTGCAGCTGAGTTCAGACGTGGCCCGAGTATGCCTTGAAGAAAAAATTATCAGTGGGGTGTTCTTTGAGCCAGCTGGTGCCCTTTCAACAATGTCTAATTGGTTATCTTTTCTCTTTCCTAAGGTCAGAACATTTTATCTCCGTCTCTGCCCTTTCTGTGCTCACCCCACCCTGCGTTATTTTTTAGGGCAGCCATTGTAGCAGAAGAATAGCCTCTTTCCTCCATAGTCCGGTGACACAATGAGACTTCTCGAAACCTCCTGAATAGATAAAGTGCAGCGGCAAAAGGAAAATTCTATTAACGCTTTGCAAAATAAAACATCTGAGAGCTGGTGAGACAAGCAGGAGAAGAAAATCAATACGGAGAGGGCAGCGCGCTTAGAAAAACTTTTCACCAGTTGCAAAAAGGTGGCGAGGGTATGGGAGGGAGGGGGGAGAGAAACTTATTAATGCAGAAAACCCATCAATGGTATGGAAATCTGGCAGAACAGCAAGAACTCAAACTAGAAGAATTTGAATATACAAAGGGCTGAATAGAATGAGCAAACCACAGTGCCTCACACACACAGCCCGTTTCTCACGGTTCTCTGTGAAGCAAACACAAGCGGCTTGTTCAAGTTTTCATCAAGGAGAAATAAGGGACACAGTCAAGGTAACCGGCAGTAAACCCTGCAGTAAGCAAATTGATCCCTATTTCAGGGAAAGGGAAAAAAAAACCGAGCCACAGCCGAAACTCAAGTGCATCCAGGGGCTGTGAGTGCCCGAGTTAACCCTCTCCTCCTGCCCCTGGCTCCACCAGCGTTTTAAAAAGCTCAACTGCAACTTTTCCAGGTCTCAGCTCCAAACACGCAGCTCACACTCCGCATACAAGAGGCAAGGAAGGCTTTTCCAGGGTTAGAGTGGGACTGGAAGATGGAATTGCCACCTGCAAGGCTTGGCCATCACCACGTGCTGCTGGCTGGACCCCAGCCCCCAGCGAAGCCCTGGATGCCCCAGCAGAGGAAGGGGAGGCTGAGCCCCTCCACCCCGGCAACCCACACCCAACCTCCTCACATGGAGCACGGATCCGTATGGAGGCCCAAAGGAGCTGATTAATGCAGACTCACTCTGGCACCAAGTGAGAGTTACAAAATGAACAGTCCCAGGACTTAGGGTAACTAAAAAAAAAGAAGAAAACAAAGACTTGCCAGCGAACACTGGTTACAAATGGACACTTCAGGCCCCCAGACTCCTCTGTCCCAGCACAGCCCATCCATACAGCCAATGCAGACCCAGTTTCCTACATAAAGCCTAACTAATGGGCTTCAGTTTATTTAACTTCTTTTTTTTCCAATCCACTTGGGGCTCTGAGAAAAGGAAGGGCTCTACCACTTCATTACTCACTGCCTGGAAGGAGGAATAGGGGAGAATAAGAGGAAAGAAAAAAAACCTGGAGGAGCCAAAGGCTTTAATAATCCTAACAGTTCCCAGGGTTATTTAAAATATGCCCAACCAGTTCACAAAAGGCTCCACGGAGATAAATGTATTTGATTTCCTTCCACTTTAATGGAGGCATACATTTAAAGCAACAAAACCAGGGTGACCTAAATAAAATGACTATTAATTGTACTCAGAAAGTCTCTGAATTTAATGCAAGTGATCTAGCCCAGCACAAGAACACGCAGCATTCTCCAGTCATTCCTCCTACTTTCCTCTTTGGGATTTTCAACTCCTCTTTTCCACGAGGCAGCAGGAGCTGCTCAGACCCAGCACACTGTAACCAACAGGCTGAGTGCCCTGCAAAAGCCAGCGCTGGTTCCAGAAGAATCCGTAGGATGGTGCTGCAGAAACTGGAGCACTGCGCTGCCACTGAAAGCAGAAGGACCAAACCATTTTTTTTTTCCTGGAAAACTTTAAGATTCATCCTGTATCTCTCCAAGTGCACAATGCCAGCACAGGCACAGACCCAAGAGGTGCCCATGGACCCTCATTGTGAAGCCAACCTCCCTGTGAAGGGTCCCTGTGTGCCCAGGAGCAACTCCCACCACCACTCCCCACCACCATGTCCTGGTTCTTCCTTTTGAGTCAAGTTTCCCCACTGAGCAAAACTTCCACAATGAAACCACCAGAACTACACTGAAGGGACACACAGCAGCCTCTGTGCCTCCTCATGCAGCCCAGGAAGGCTTTTCCTGATCCAAACCCTGAGTTTCCAACACATCCAGAGCAGGTTGAGGTGTTCTTGTGCTCCCCAAAAGTGCCCCCCTGGGATGGAGGTTGTTTTCCACTCCCAAGCAGATCTGGCACTATGCTCTCCATCCCTCCAAGGTAAAGAAGAATTAGGGCAGACAAATGGATTTACACCTGGAATGGATCACGGTGGCAATTCCAGCTGGGTCTGGAGAGGGAAGGAATTACTGAAGGACAACTTTCACCCCTCACAATTCGGCTGTGCCTCTCCTCCCTCCATCCCCAACTCGTGAACTTCACAGGCCTATCACCTCTCCTGCTCTTCCAAGAAAAGTGTGCTGGATATTCTAGTCTAATTCCTCAAATTATTTATCCACACCGCACAACTCCTCCAATATTTTGTTTTCTGAAGCAGAAAAACCTCTTAGCTGCCAGTGAACTGTCAGGTGCTGTTATTTTA